TACAACACTTCATCAGTTGACATCTTTGGTTATGAATAGTGTTGGCATGATGTTCGATTAAGAAATGAGGTAAAATTTTAGGTGAGAACAATTTCCCAACAGTGGATTGTTTTCACTGTGAGGAGTGTCCGGCACCGAATCAGTCAGATGTAGATGATGGTCAGTGTATCATTAGAACTTTGTTCCTGTCAGTTGATCCGGCTCAAGTACGTAAATTTGATCAAAGAATTCGTATTGATATTTGTTGCTTCCTTATTTGTCATTTTCTTTTATCGTTTCGTATTAAATTGGAATAGGAATATGTGTGGTATATCAATTTACGAACAGAATGGTTTCCTATTTTTCGTAAATGAATGTAAAGAGATTGGATGAAAAATTTTCGTCACTAATTATCAGTATTTTGATAAATGCAGTTTTCGTTCGAAACGCTGAGCAGAGGATGAAATTTTTAGAGATGTCGAATGAATCGCTCGACAGGTGTTGATTATTTGGAGCCGTTTGAACCAGGTGAGTTAGTCGATGGTTTGGAAGGAATTGGTGTCGTCGAAATGGCGTCTCCAGCGTCAGTTATTTGATTTCATTGCATTGTCTCTGTTGTTATATCTTGTCTGAATATACTCCCTTTATGTGAGCATCATGATTCATCGTAATATTTAAAATAGTCAATACACTGGTTATCACAAAATGGAATTTGAAATGAATTGATCGTGAGTAGCTATAGGAATCGCATTTAAGTGGTGTACAAATATGGCATTTTTCCTGTTGGTTCGGAATTTATGCATAAGTTTTTATAGTGGCCAAGATGATAGAATGTCAGCAATGAGGTGAATTAGTTGATTCGACGAATGTGTCGTATTTGATGGGAAATATAATTTCAGTTGTAACTTTGAAGTGGGTGACCTGGTGACTTCTGTCGGTCGATTATGGCCATGGAGTCGACTGTTTGTGGCTGATCACTCAGATCTGGTTAAGGTGAATCTATTATTGTTGTTGCTACTGTTAGTTTTTGTATTGTTTTTGTTGTTGAGTGTTCATTTGAATTATTGGAAGTATTATTGCATCGTGAGAATGAAGTGTTTCAAAATTTTATTTCAATTTTATGCATTCATTATTGTTGCTGTTGATGTTATTATTGTTTTTCTTAATGATATAAGTGTTATGTTTTTATAATATTTATCTTAATGATACGTTTTTGTTAATGATAGTATTATTATGGTTGTTTTGTTTTTGCCGCATTCATTTGTGCTGTTGTAGGTGAATTTGCCACGTGGTTACTCGCCGTCAATAATACTGAGTTGCGTTGGTATATCAGGTATGACCGCGTTGTTGGGTATCCGCAAGAAAGCCGCAATCGACCCAACAAAACCGCAAACGATTGTCGTCTCAGGTGCGGCCGGATCGTGTGGTTCTCTAGCTGGACAGGTTGGTATTTTCTCTTTCGTGTTTCCAACTGAGAAACCTAATCTATTTTTGTGTGTGTTTTGTTTTGTGGAAGAAAATGTTTAATGTATTTTCATGATGCATGGATGGAAATTTGAAGTTGCAGTTCACATTTTCTAATCAATGATGGATTGATATTCAATCGTTTGATTTGGGATTTTCAGGAAATTGAATGAATTTTCAGATAGCTAGGTTAGATGGATGTACGAGAGTGGTGGGTATATGTGGAGCGCCAGAGAAATGCGAAGTTTTAATGAACGAGTTAGGCTTTGATGGTGCGATCAACTATAAAGCTGAATCGGTACCGGATCGATTGAGGACACTGGCACCTGACGGCGTTGATATTTACTTTGATAATGTCGGCGGTTTCGTTAGTGATGCGGTTATTGCACAGGTAACTGATTGTTCGAATCGTACGATATTTAAGATCTTCATCTAGTGGTTTATATTTTTGGTGTTGCATAATCCTTGGGAATCATATCTTTATCATTTGCGTCATACCTGATATGTAAAGTTTGTCAACATTATTTTTATGGATTTTGTGATCGTGTATTTCAAGACGGATTGCTATGCGATATTTTGTTGAGAATAATTTCATTGGTAACATGAGAGCTGCTTTTTCAGATGAATCAAGGAGGTCGTGTGGTTTTATGCGGTCAGATTGCCGTGTACAACACGAATCTACCGTACCCGCCGCCGATACCCGAGAAGACTGCAGAAATTATCGCCGAACGAGGCATTCGAAGGTATAGTGTTTGGGTAAATTCGGTGGTGTTTCTTCTTTCGAGTCTGAGTTAAGAATGCAGTTCTCCTTGTTATTATTACTGAGAAAAAGATTTAGTGGAATTCGTAGTGTTCATTTGAGAGTGCTGAAGAGATGAACTGAAGGGAATTTGTGGTTTTTTGAAGCTGAAGGTGGTAATATCAGTAATAATATTAACAATTGGTGAAATATCC